TAATTGTGCATGCAGAAAAAAATGAAGATAAAGTACAGAAAACAATCTCATTGTAGTACAGATAAATTATAAATAAAATAAAATATGACAAAACAGTGTAGCAAATGCTGAAATTCACTATGTAGAGAATGGTATTTTAGGAATGGCCAACCACTCAAATTTTACTTACTACTGTTTTAGGATTCTTTGAACTAAATTGACTATCCATGAATATTTACTTTCTCCTCCATCATTGATAACAATGTGGCCTTATTTATTGTATGTTGCTAATGGATTCTGCATGATAACTTTCTATGGTACCAAACACTCTCCTGCTTCTTGATTTTCAAATCTGTCCTGGTTCTATTTCTTTTTACTATCACTTCGTTCCTCTATTATTCTCTATGCATTAGCTGAAAACCTGATGACAAGAGTTGTCCTGTAAAATAATAATTCATGTTCCTTACGATGCAACAGTGCGCAAATTCATGAGGGGAAGGTCTACATATCATAGCAATTCTATTTTATGATGTGCTATAGTTCTTCCCATAAACATGGTGCACATGAAGCCCTTATTGAAAATGATTTTAACCACCTACCACTGCCTCTATCTATCATGAGTCAAACTTTCTTGGTCACTGCTGAGTATTTGCAAAATACATTTTACATTTTGATGAATGAATAGCCAAATAATAAAGGGCTTTTTGGAAAGGAAGCTGGTAGAATTGCATAGGCAGAACAAAATATGATAACCTAACCTCAGAGATGCTAATTTTAAGCCACATAATGTGTGTTATTTTTCAGAAAATGCACCAGATGTTTAAATGTTATACTTCCAAACTATGTAACACCTATACATATGTCATATACACTTAGTAAATACATGTCTCAGTTTAGCTTCTTTACATGACCATTACAGGTATCACACCTGCTAAACTGGAATTATTTAGTGCAATTGTTCAATTGTGTTTCACAGGTTGAAGATTATTTAAAAACTTTGATCAATTATGTGGGTTCCTGGACTAGCCCTCTATACCATCTAGTGATTGAACTGAGCGCCATGCAAGATGTCCCTGAAACTATCCTCTCAAAAGCCAAGGAGATCGAAGAGAAAAACAGACAAATCCTGGATGACCTTAGGTGGATACTCATCCAGGTGAGCACTTCCCATTAGTTATTCTCACTCATAAAATAGGTGAGTTGTAGAAATTAACAACAACACCAAAAAAACAACAACAATTCTGAAATACCTCCTCTTTCCAGAGTGAAACATAGATATCTGATCTTGTTCACAATTTTTCCATAAGACACGGTTTCTCAACCTGTGTTTCATGATACCTTTGGGGGTCAAATGATCCTTTCACAGTGGTCATATAACAAATATCTTGCATATCAGATATTTACATTACAATTATTCAAAGTAGAAATATTGGAGTTATTAAATAGGAATAAAATTAATTTTATGGTTGTGGGTCACCACAGAATGACGAACTATATTAAAGGATCACAACATTCAAATGTTTGAGAACCACTGCTTTAATAGATTGCAGGTATCTCCAACCTTTTCAGAGGCTTCTCATCTCTTCCCAAAATGGGGATCAGAATGAAACACAAATATGCCTCTTAGGCATTTAAAGGATATCTTTCCTGGTTGGATAAAAAGAGCTCTGGACCTTCAAACACAGTCAGCCCTAGGATCTTCATATTAAATCACCCAGCATCTGATCCTCATCACTTGTGAGATTTTTATACATAGATCATGGAGGTTGGATTTAGTAAAATGGTGGTACATATTAGCTTCTGTGAAATACATATGCAAGGACATGCAAGAATTTCCTCAGTGAGTAATTGATATGAGCCCAGAATCAAACAGAAATTTCTTTCATTTCCTCTGCTTCTGAAAGGGCATACTTCCTCTGTAATTAATTTCATGTTAGAAATGCTCATGACTCTTCATTACATATTCTAAAAGACTAACTGCTTGAGAGTCTCTTGGCTTAGATAAATGAAAACTCATATCTTTGATGGAAGCAGCACATTTCTGAATATATTTCCCAGATTGGACACAGAAGAAATAAGGACGAAGAAACACTAACAAAATAATCAATAATTAACTAATTATCATTTTGATTTTTAGGTCTACCCTACACCAGAGATGAAGGAAGAATTTCCCAACTGGGAACATCTCTCATTCTTAAAATCAAGTGGCAAATATGATAAATTTTTGGCAATGCTTAACCTTTTCAACTGCCTAGAACATGATACAAAGTATAATCTATTTCATCTCAGAATATTGAAGTGTCGCATAACTGGGAAAGATTGCTAAGTGAACATTTAACATGTCTGCTTTGGAGATACTCCAGGACAGTTTATTGCTGAGTAGTGGCTTTAAATTGTATACATTTCAAATGCATGTATGGGTATAATGGATCTCCTTCTGAAAAATAAAAGCATTCTCTTTAGAAATGTCTAAATCTAAAACTCCTATTCATCGTTTGTTCATTGAGTAGAATATATATCAGTAAAGTTAGGTTGCCCCAATCGAATTAATCACAAACAATATATGTTAATTTAGCAAATAAAGTTAAAGTTTACTTCAATTAAGTTGCATTTATTTCACAGAAAAGTAATGAAAGTCAAGTTACTATAATCAAAGTGTAAAACTCACTAGCTACTCTATGTATCCAAATCAGAACTGTAAAATGTTTAATGCTTTATGTCATTCAGATTGTCCTTAGGAAACACTGTTAACAGTGAAAGCACAGTCAATTCAACACAACTGCTATCTGACTTCCTCAAGAGGACTTAGAGGAAAGCAGGCAAGGACTATACATGATACAGAGACACTGAATTTATGTGCAGGATTTCCAAAACCTTGATTTTTAAAAATACATTCTTCTTTTTTTTTTATTGGATATTTTATTTATCTTTCATATGTTATCCCCTTACCCCATCCTCCACCAACCTGGGAACCCCCCATCCCCTTACCCCTCCTCCTTCTTCTCTGTCGATGTAACCCCCACCTAACCCCCCACTCCCACTTCCCCACCCTCAAAATTCCCACCCCCTAGGGCGTCCAGCCTTCATGAGGTCAAGGATCTCTTCTTCCACCTGTGC